GGTACATTTGAAATTGGTGGTATTTCGAAGCTGTAGCAAAGGTCAGGAATTGACGAGTGTAACCTATTGCTGATGCACAAGTCACAGAACAATCTTATTTCAGGCTGAGTTCAGGTGATGGCAGTTGCGAAAACACTTTTTTTTTCCCCCACAAAACTGAAGATACTCAAGTGCTGATAAATGCAGAAGCCCTTGATGTCATTTCTGAGAGACTTAGCAGAATATGACAGTCAGACATTTGTATCCATTCTGATGCATTGGTTGAATGTACCATGTTGTTTTTTTCAAGGATGTTATATGTTACCTCACACACTGCTCAGTTTTCTGAGGTGCATTTGTTTTTCTGCTATTTTTTCACACAAGTATCTTTTTCAGCAGAGAACTGCATGTTCCAACATCCTTTGTTAATCATTTACAGATACATTTTTAAAAGCAACAAGTACAGTTCAGTGGTGAAATTACATGTATATATATTCCACAAATTGTGAGCAACCAGAATAAAGCTAAGTAGACGTTACTTGTTTGGAGAACTTAGATAAATATATTATCTTAGTGGAACTGAGATTGCAAGTTAAGGACATAGTCTAGCGTTGGCAATCTGCAGAAATGGCACACATGGCACACAATTCAGTGTTGCTTTCTGATGCACTGCACTACTTTACACATTACTGCCAAGTTCAACTCCTTAAATACTGCTTTGCTCATCTCCTTAAATAGTTTAAAGGCTTTAAAGGTGAGAATATTTTCTTTCTATATACCTATCATTTAGCAAGTTTATCTTTCTGGTAAGTGCTTATTAGGAAGATGTGGTAGGATCAGTATGAGATTGTATCGTTGCATAGTCTTTGTATGATAATATTTGAGCTAATAGCTGTCTGGATTCAGTGCTGAAAGCTTGCTATGAAGTTTATAAAGCCTTTTCCCTGCTTCCTTTGGTAATTTTGAGTGATTCAGGTCCTGAAAATGCAATTTTCAATCAGATTTGATGGCCTAAGGTCAATTAGCTTCTAATGCATAAATGCTACTTTGAAACCACACAGTTCTTGTGTAACCATACCTTGAAGATGCGTGGGCTTGAGAAGGAGGAAAGAACACGCATCTTGATTTTATATAAAATGGATTCTTAAATAAAATTTACTTTTTCACTGAGATTTCCCTGTTGGCAATTTGTCCATTTGTCAATATGAGTATTATGAGTCAAGAGCAGGAGTAGGAAGCTGTGTTTCTGTGTAGAAAGTTTTAGGCAACAGCAGCAGCAGGGCAGATAGCAAAAATGAGTCCTAAGATGGAGGACTTTAATAAAAAGGTGACTGAATGTATGGGTGGGAAAAGCTAAGTAAAGGTAGACAGGGCAGGAGCCGATGAATTCCAGTATATGCTTTCATCCAGAAATGTAAGTTTAACCTGGGATATACTTGGTTTCTTGTGTCATCAGCAACTTTTTGTGAAATCTAATGCAGTTCCTGATTCCTCCATTGGTCCACGTTAAAAGTAGCTGTTGTCCTTTTTATGAACGGTGGCAGAAGTTTATGCTGGCCCTGTTGGATTACATGAAAGCTAGTATTTTCACAACAATTTTGAATTAGTTAATTTTGTTGTTATTAGTTGTTCAGTGAGGAAACATGAGCTCAGGCATAGGGGTTACTTTCCAAATGGGAAAAAAATCTGTTTATGAAAATGATGTGAAAAGTATTCTGACAGTGAAAAGCCTTTTCCTCTGGGAAATGCTTGTAGAGCAGCGCCATTTGGTGTGTTGAACAATCCAATAATACAGAGGAATGAAAAAAAAAATATCATTCTTAGTTAAACTCTGGATGGATACATTCATTTATATTCTTTGTATATATGCATTTATATTCTTTGTAAAGTGCACTCTACTGCTGTTACCAACTAGTTTGCAGCAGCTGGCCATACTGCTACCCCTGCTTTCAAGAAAATGATTAAAAGGGCATTTACTAAGTGTGGGTGTATCCAAAATATCAAGACATCAGCAGCACTGCTGTATCCTGTGCTTGAATACAACTGTTCAACATCCATGAAAATATAAATATTACTCTTACAAATTTTGATCATTATTTTTTGCATTAAAATTCTGTTGCAGAAGTTGAAATACGAAATTACCAAAATTCTGTCTGCAGAGAACCTAAATATGCCTGATTAATTTAATAGTTATTTATGTAAAAATATGTATATAGAAGTCTGTTAGCTGCTCCTATTGTCTCTGAATCTGAGATAGATTGAAATCTATCTTTGTCATTGTCACTGTCATCATTGAAGCCTCTTGTGATCTTTTCCTGTCCTTTAAAGGAGATGAATACAAAAACAACAGCAACAAAAAAGGACTGAAAAAGTAGAAGAGAAAAAAAAGAAAAACCAAAAGGTAGCTTAAGAAAGGTCAGAAACCCTATTTGGACTGCTACCAAAGGCATACACCACAGTTAGTTAGAGATGGAGTTGCAGCTTTAATTCTGATTTTTCTGACTTTTGTCACTTCAAAGACTGATTCTCAGTGTTACTTTAACATTTTTATTGTGTGTGAATAATAGAGTACACATTGAGGTTCAATAGGTGCAGTACTGTTAAATGTACATCTTGGTGGATTTAAAAATGAGGGATTTATTTTGTCATTCATAAAGTTGTAATACAGTCTAGAGAAACTATTTGTTAAAAGATAGCATCTACTTAACCTGCTTATTTATTTCTTGTAGTAGAAGGTTAGATCCACAATAAATACACGAGGAAATAAGTAGATAGGGGAATTTATCTTAGAAATAAGATCCCTGTCACGCTTTTGAAATGTGAAATGCATGAAGACCTGTCAGGGAGATATACGGACATGATATTTTTTTACTGTGCATTTGGAAGTATTTAGCTATATTTGTCATTCGCTAGTGCCACTAAGCAGTGATCAAGTGGTATAGTAATTTGAAAGTCTGTTTTCAATAGCATATATATATATATATATGTATTTGCCATTGGGATATAGCAGAACTGTACACAAGTCTTTATCTTTCCCTCTCTGTGAAAATGGCTTTTGGGGAGAAAATTAGCATTTGTTTAAATAGGATGTTTGACATAGATAATTCATTTTTAACTATATCATTTAAAGAAATCTTTAGTGAGCTATATTATACATAAGTTAAAATTGCTGTATTTGCACAGCAGTTTAGAAAACACTAACTGTAAATTATGGCATTAATGTGTTAAAACATGTAGCTTTTCCCTAAATTATGGACAGTGGCATATCTGATTTCATCATTTTGCTTGAAACTTGCTGGAAATAATGCATCT